GTCAGAAGCATTCCTTAAACATAACTGAGTTCAGTTCAGTTCAGTTTAGTCACTCAGTCGTGTCCGACTCTTTGAGACCCTATGAATCGCAGCATGCCAGGCCTCCGTGTCCATCACAAACTCCCGGAGTTTACTCAAACTCATGTCCATCGAGTTGGTGATGCCATCCAGCCATCTCATCCTCTGTCCACCACTTATCCTTCTGCCCCCAATCACAGCATCAGGGTCATCCAATGAGTCAATGCTTCACATGAGGTGGCCAAAGTATTAGAGTTTCAGTTTCAGCATCAGTCCTTCCAATGAACACCCAGGACTGATCCCTTTAGGATGGACTGGTTGGATCTCCTTACAGTCCAAGGGACTCTCAAGAGTCTTCTCCAACACCACAGTTCCAAGAGCATCAATTTTTTGGCACTCAGCTTTCTTCACAGTCCAAGTCTCACATCCATACATGACCATGGGACAAACCATATCCTTGACTAGATAGACCTTTGTTGGCAAAGTAATGTCTCTGCTTTTTAATATGCTATCTAGGTTGGTCATAACTTTCCTTCCAAGGAGTAAGCATCTTTTAATTTCATTTCTATTACCTATGCATTTGTTTCTTCATATATAATTGTGAGTGGATACCAGTGATTTCATCAGGATTGTATAGGATTATAGCATGATGTAATTTATAATCTACACATCTTTTGGTACAGTGTTTTTCTTTTTCTGTTTTTTTTTTTAATTAATCTGTAGGATACTTTATTTAGAATGGACCACATTTTATCAGAACTTTCCACCATGACCTGTGGAGATATTTTATTTAGAATGCATTAATTTTATATATTTTAATTTATTTTGTTTCAATTTGGGGATAATTACTTTACAATTAAGCAATTGTAATTGCAGATGCCTCTGCCATATATCAGTTGTACAGAAGCAAATGGCAGTGTTTTATTCTTTTAACATAGCAGAGTTTGAGTATTTTAACATACAATACATGTAAGTTTTTTTTTTTTTTTTCTAAAGGGTTGATAAAACATATAAGTTGGAAAATGTATGGATCCCATGTGTTTTGGGTTAGATATTTGTTCCTGAAACTTTGTTCCCAAAATGAGTGATTATTAAAAATAAATAAATAAATAAAACCGATAGTAAGCAGTCTTTTACATCTAGTGTTAATGAGGTTGTAATCTTTTTAGCTGTTTAAACCAGAGAACTATGACAATCACTGGGAAGAGATGGGACAGATGAGTAGAGGGAAGGAAATGTGGCTGCAGGAACCTCTCTGGACAGGAATTAGATCAAACAATGACACCTAGTAACATATTGATCTGTTCCTTGTCCCTGTGACAAAGGCCAGGGGACCAATGAGGTCCCCTGTAAGTGAAAGGATTGAGCAGAATGGCTGATGAAATGAGATCTCTGACCCTAAGATTTGCCTAATTAGTTAGGACAAATAAGCAATTGTTTCATTAAACAAATATTTCTCCATCTCTACTTTGTGCAAGTCAGCAAGGAAAGTGTGAGACATATAAATATAGCTTCAAATACCCAGAGCCTTTAGTACACTAGAAGCTAAAAGCTAGTGTAATAACAATTTTAACATAGTTTTAAATGTCAGTGTCATTAAAACTATAATAAGGATTTGATTGGATAGCATACTCTTGAATTTTCAGTTTATAAAGACTGAGGGAGGGTCCAGTGAAGATCTAAATAGTTTTCTTTCTGAAAATGGGTTTCCAAACGCACAGTAAGAACCTAGTGGGAAATTCTTAAAGAGATGGGAAAACCAGACCACTTTATCTGCCTCCTGAGGGATCTGTATGCAGATCAGGAAGCAACAGCTAGAAATGGACATGGAACGACAGACTGGTTCCAAATAGGAAAAGGAGTACATCAAGACTGTATGTTGTCACCCTGCTTGTTTAACTTATATGCAGAGTACATTATGAGAAATGCTGGACTGGATGAATCACAAGCTGGAATCAAGATTGCCCGGGAGANAGAAGTATGCAGAAAACACCCTGGTTTCATGAAGAACAAGCTGATGTAATGTTAAACTATCTTCCCCTTAGAGATGTACTAACTTAGGGTATAAAAGCTACAGTAAAAAATAAAGCATTGCCAGACCCTGCCAGACTCTGCCAGACTCTGCTACAAACACCCCCGTATGGTCTCTCTCTCTCTCTTTCTCTCGCCATTCATCCTGAGACTTGGCCCTATCAAGGCTGGTCTCACGTGTCTTCTTTCGCTGACGCCGTTCATCCTGATGGTACCCACTGGATCCTGCTGAGGCTGGACCCCGGCAGATATGTATGATACTATTTGGAGAAGGAAATGGCAACCTACTCCAGTACTCTTGCCTGGAAAATCCCACAGATGTAGCCTGGTAGTCATGGGATCTCAAAGAGTGGGACACGACTGAGCGACTTCATTTTCACTTTTCATTTTCATGCTTTGAAGAAGGAAATAGCAAAACACTCCAGTGTTCTTGCCTGGAGAATCCCAGGGATGGAGGAGCCTGGTGGGCTGCCATCTATTGGGTCGCACAGAGTCAGACACGATTGAAGCGACTCAGCAGCAACAGCAGCAGCTGGGAGTTGGTTATGGATGGGGAAGCCTGGCATACTGCAGTCCATGGGGTTGCAAAGTGTCAGACATGAATGAGCGACTGAACTGAACTGATGTGGGAATATATTGAGATTTTAATAAGATAGAACTAAGTACTGCTGAGCAAGTAGATCCAACTAGCATAAGAAAACCTCAACACCTCAAAGAATATGTTATTATATTAACTAAATGAAATACCTCTGTCCATAGCTGAAGTGCTGTAGTCCATGGGGTCACAAAGAATCGGATGTGACTGGCGACTGAACTGACTGACTGACTGATAGCTGGTAGTAGAGATAGTACAAATAGAGTAGGAATAGGTATTATAACCACTCCTGACTAGTTGAGTTATGAGCATATTAATTATTTCCAGATCAAATAAATAGTATTTGCATAATTCATTGGTGATCCTGTCATTTTGATTCAGAACATAGTGATGATACAATTAACAGTATAGTTTTTTAAATGCCATATTCCTCAGTCTATTCTAGAACTGTTAGGTTTATCTATTAGAGTTATTAAATAAGCTAAAGCCATATCATATACTTTTATCATTTAATAATTTTAAATTCTGGGTCACTTCACACCATATTATTTAACTCTATGAATCTCTACAAGAATGAGTTTTTCTCTGAACTGAAGATAATTTGACAACCCAAAGACACAATTTTATTTACCAGAAACAGTAAGATAGTAGACTTTATTAATGAGAAGCATTTTTTCTGAATGATTGAATAATTTGAAACTATGACAGATTCAGGGACTCAATACTTTGAATCGATATTTTTATATTCACTAAATGATATACATAATCTGTATCTTGCATGAAGCATTTTACATTTTTATAAAAATAAAATTTCAAGATATTCTCAAAGCCATATCAAGCTATTATTGGATTAGGGTTTGGTTGTGTTCTCCCTCATACTCTCTCCAATCTCCCCATCTCCTTGTTGTTCATTCCCATTGTGTAAAAATATATATCATATGATGTAGTGTGTCTCTCATAGCTATCTTTATATCTGGCTTTTATAACTGAATACATGTAAATTTGTGCTGGTTCAAGAAAAATATCTGCAATTATTGACTGATCATTTATTCTTCTCAAGAGAAAATAATCAATAGTTCTTAATTGATTTTTGGAATTACTAATCAAATTAACCTTGAGAATATTGCATTAAATCATTTAATTAATTGGTTATTCCATTAATGTAAATAACATTGACATTCTTAGAAAAATGGCTAGGTGAAGGTACACAGGAGTTTTTCTTTGTATTTAACAGTATGTGTGGACTGTATAAAAATTTAAGTATTTATTTGTGCTTTACACACTTTCATTTTAAAGATCTATAAACACAGAGTAAATCTTATTATTGCTACTATGTCACTCCTAAAAATATATATATGAGTTCATTCATTTAAGCAATTTTCTATCATTTATTTATTATTGATTAATTTTTGATGTTAAATTACTCCTATTGGATTCAGGGTGTTGAAGGCATATTTTTGTGTCTTTGTCACTGTTTAAAAATGAAATGCTAATGACTGTGTTTATCAGGAGATGAACTTTTATGAAGACTATTCAGAAATGAAAGAGTACATGCCTTCATCCAACAGATAATTGTTACTTTAACATTTAGTGTGTTGTTTTGTTTTAATTTAAGTATAATATTTATGAGTGTATATCTTTCTCCTTCTCCATCTCTCCATTCTTCGTGTGTCTTGATATATCTCTATTATATCACACTCTTCCGCATGTAGAAATTGAATTTGCACTAAAAGGAATCCTTCATTGGCTATTGGGACTGTTCATGTCTAAATTTGAACTTTACACTTGTTTTGAAACTTTATAAAACTCATCTGAACTTTTGATTTCTCAGTTTCTTCATTAGTAGAAAGAATTGTGTTCATCATTTTTTTCTGATATCAGAATGTCAGCCATACCAGAACAGAAACTTAATCTGGTTTAATTACTGCTGTATCTCAACACCTGAAATAGTGCTTTGAATGCAGAATAAATATTCTCAATAAGTATTTGTCAAATTAATCAACAAATTCTAGATACTTAAATTCAAATATCAATTCCTGCTATAAAAATATCAAGCAGTATGTCTAATGCATATGAATGGAGGTATGAGGAGTATACAGCACAAAACATCTCCAATCCCACCATACAGTATAAGCAAGGAACATGATCAGTTTGATGGAGCTGATACTTACTTAGGTTGAAAAGGATTCTGGGGCCCTTGAAGAGGAAAAAGGAGTCTGGGGTCCTCAAGGAGGAGAAAGGGACACTCCCCCCCCCCTCATATTCCTTCATCTTAGCAACATAAGAATTTTTTTTTTCTTAACCTCTGAGTTGTTATGACAACAACCTTTAAGATTAACTTTCTTTAAGCCCAGAGCTAATAATTACACAACAAAACAACTCATCTTGCTCAAGGGTATGCTCTTCCTTAAGTTCTGTACTTATGGTTATACAACAACAATGTAACTTATTGGAGGACATTTTTCTGTTTCTTAAAAAGAAACTTCTGACTAATCCTGTTATCTTAAGATGTATATTGTGGGAGTGAGTCTGGTAAGACCTTTCTGTTGTTAGTAACCAACTGAAAAAGTATATAAGGTCTTGATAAGAGTAGGGACTGGGGCACTGTCTTCCTCCTGACGTCTATATCAGAAGCATTCTCTATTCCCCAGTTCAGTTCAATCACTCAGTCGTATCCAACTCTTTACAACCTCATGGACTGCCGCACGCCACGCTTCCCTGTCCATCACCAACTCCCTCTGAGCGACTTCAGTTTCACTTTTCACTTTCATGCATTGGAGAAGGAAATGGCAACCCACTCCAGTGTTCTTGCCTGGAGAATCCCAGGGATGGGGGAGCCTGGTGGGCTGCCGTCTGTGGGGTCGCACAGAGTCTGACGTGACTGAAGTGACTTAGCAGCAGCAGCAGGTTGGTAGTAGCTTGTCTTCCAAGGAGCAAGCGTCTTTTAATTTCATGGCTGCAGTCACCATCTGCAGTGATTTTGGAGCCCCAAAAGATAAAGTCTGTCACTGTTTCCGTTATTCCCCCACCTACTTGCCATGAAGTGATTGGATGGGATGCCATGATCATAGTTTTTTGAATGTTGAGTTTTAAGCCAGCATTTTCACTCTCCTCTTTCACTTTCATCAAGAGGTTCTTTAGTTCTTCTTCACTTTCTGCCACGAAGGTGGTGTCATTTGCATATCTAAGGTTATTGATAGTTCTCCCGGCAATCTTGATTCCAACTTGTGCTTCATCCAGCCCGGCATTTCGCGTGATGCACTCTGCACGTAAGTTAAATAAGCAGGTGACAGTATACAGCCTTGACACACTCCTTTCCCAATTTGGAACCAGTGTGTTTTATGTCTGGTTCTACATGTTGCTTTTTGATCTGCATACAGGTTTCTCAGGAGGCAGGTCAGTTGGTCTGGTATTCCCATCTCTTTAATAATTTTCCATAGTTTGTGGTGATCCACGCAGTCAAAGGCTTTGGCATAATCAATAAAGCAGAAGTAGATGTTTTTCTGGAACTCTCTTGCTTTTTTTGATTATCCAACAGATGTTGGCAATTTGATCTCTGGTTCCTCTACCTTTTTTAAATCCACCTTGAACATCTGGAAGTTCATGGTTCACATACTGTTGAAACCTGACCTGGAGAATTTTGAGCATTACTGCTAGCGTGTGAGATGACTGCAATTGTACAGTAGTTTGAACATTTTTTGGCATTGCCTACATTTGGGATTAGAATGAAAACTGAACTTTTCCAGTCCTGTGGCCACTGCTGAGTTTTCCAGATTTCCTGGCATATTGAGTGCAACACTTTCACAGCATCATCTTTTAGAATTTGAAATAACTCAACTGGAATTCCATCACCTTCACTATCCCTATTTCATGGTAATAAAACTTTTACTGCACGAAGCTCTGAGTGACTGAAGCCTCGTCTCTGGCTCCAGAGCTAAATTTTCTTCTTTAGAGATCACAAATCCAACTCCATTTAGGTCGTAAGCTATCAATTTTTTCAAGTACTCTTCTGTTTGTTTATTACTTATTTCAATATCTTCTGATTTCCACATGAATAAACTTTCCTTCTTATTTTGCAATCTCTTTTGTACTTATTTATTGTTTTACCACACATGAATGTTTTCTAAAATTTGTCACTTAGTTTTATATAATTTTAACTTTATATAAATAGAATAATAATTTTTGAAATTATTTTAAAAATTCAAAAATTTGCAAGTTTCTTTCATCATGTCTCATGCTTAAAATACCACATTTGTAGTATTCATCTACATTGATGCTACATTTTATGTATTTTCACTATACTTTGAATTTTCCATTTTGTTTTATTGCTCTTGTTCTCTGTTTGTGTGCTTATAGATGTTATCCTATTTATAATATCAATTTAATGTAAAAATATTTAACAGCTCTCCATATGGTATGGTATACCTACCATACCATGGTATAAATAGGTGTGGTATATCTCTTCCCCTGTTCCTTTCCAGGATGTTTTGGTCCTTATTAGACACTTCATTATATTAATACAAAAGTACTTTAGATTGTGCTTACACACGTTCTAAAATTTCTCTGTGTTTTTATTGGCAATTGCATCTATAGATTATTTGGGAAGAATTAAATCATTATTGTTTAAGTATTTCTACCTAGGGAGTATAGTCTTTAAATCTTTTAAAAAATTTTATATTTTTATCTCTTTGTAATTGATGGTTGTGATATCGATAGTTTTCGCAAATAAATTTTTAATTTATCTAATCATTTTCTTAGTTATGTCTAAGTTGCTTTTTGACTCATCCATGGAGTTATTTCATTATTAAAAGTGGAACTTCTTTTTAAATTTTCTTACTTAAAAACATGTGTTCCTTGACCATATTTTCAATTTTCTCCTTTATTTTTCAAATGTTAATATTCTTATTCACAAATCCAACTCCATTTAGGTCGTAAGCTATCAATTTTTTCAAGTACTCTTCTGTTTGTTTATTACTTATTTCAATATCTTCTGATTTCCACATGAATAAACTTTCCTTCTTATTTTGCAATCTCTTTTGTACTTATTTATTGTTTTACCACACATGAATGTTTTCTAAAATTTGTCACTTAGTTTTATATAATTTTAACTTTATATAAATAGAATAATAATTTTTGAAATTATTTTAAAAATTCAAAAATTTGCAAGTTTCTTTCATCATGTCTCATGCTTAAAATACCACATTTGTAGTATTCATCTACATTGATGCTACATTTTATGTATTTTCACTATACTTTGAATTTTCCATTTTGTTTTATTGCTCTTGTTCTCTGTTTGTGTGCTTATAGATGTTATCCTATTTATAATATCAATTTAATGTAAAAATATTTAACAGCTCTCCATATGGTATGGTATACCTACCATACCATGGTATAAATAGGTGTGGTATATCTCTTCCCCTGTTCCTTTCCAGGATGTTTTGGTCCTTATTAGACACTTCATTATATTAATACAAAAGTACTTTAGATTGTGCTTACACACGTTCTAAAATTTCTCTGTGTTTTTATTGGCAATTGCATCTATAGATTATTTGGGAAGAATTAAATCATTATTGTTTAAGTATTTCTACCTAGGGAGTATAGTCTTTAAATCTTTTAAAAAATTTTATATTTTTATCTCTTTGTAATTGATGGTTGTGATATCGATAGTTTTCGCAAATAAATTTTTAATTTATCTAATCATTTTCTTAGTTATGTCTAAGTTGCTTTTTGACTCATCCATGGAGTTATTTCATTATTAAAAGTGGAACTTCTTTTTAAATTTTCTTACTTAAAAACATGTGTTCCTTGACCATATTTTCAATTTTCTCCTTTATTTTTCAAATGTTAATATTCTTATTATGTATTTCATATAAAAGAATTTATAATTAAATAATTTCTAAATCTCTATATTCAAATTAACTAAACCTTTATATATTTGGTTTTTTTACCTGTTGTTTCTTTGGATATTATGGTGCATTATTTGTGTGATGTGATTTTTTTGTTATTATTTATGTTCTTAAATTATTTTAGAGAGGATTTCTTGAGAATTCAGTTGATCCAAAAAGGATTTATGTTTGCTTCAGCCAGGTAACTAGAAATACTACTAATCAATAGTTACTTTATAATTGGGGTTTTCCTTTCAGGATTTTGAACCATCCAAGTACTGCCATTTGGGGGCAAAATTTTGAGGAGGACCAGTTCATGGTTAAGAACTATAGGGAGATACTACATTTGTTCATAAACTAAAGAGGTGAAGAAAGGAAATTTCCCTTGCTATCTTTTTCCTGCACAGCAGGTTAATTTATAGTTCACCTTTCCACTGAGTATGTCTTGCTTTAGTTTTTCAGAATTATTGAGTGCTGTCTTGTCAGATTCAATGACTTAGGAGTAGTTAAAATATTATACTATCTCTAGACATTAAAAAGAAGTCTCGAAGTCACTAGTCACTTTGCCTTTTTTTTTTTTGTCATCAAGAGTTTCTAGTTATCTCATCAATGCAGTAATAGGGTTAACATGATGCCTTTCATATTTTATACAGCATTTTGAACTATTTTCAATGTTAGAGCTCTTGAAGAAATATAATGCTGAAAAGAAAGTCTGAAAATGAAAATATCTCATTTGTTTGTTTTTTTAAGAGCAATCAAAATCTATCAAAAATTATTACAAACACAGTCATTCTTCATCTATTTCTTGATATTTGCCTATAATATGCATCAGGAACACAAAGAATGGGATAGGTTCTGCATTCCTGGAGCTCACAATTTCCAGGCATGGAGACTTAGAAAGCTGATAATGTAAAAGCCTTGATATCCAGTAATAGAGAACAGTTCTGTGGAAACTTAAAACAGTGGACCACTTTTATTTGACCTTGAGAATCTAGGTGAGCTTAACTGATAAGGAGGTATATAAGCTTGTTCTTGGATGACTCAGCAGAAAAAAATAAAAAAATAAAAATTGGCCAAAAAAGTGGGATTAGGGAGGTGTTGCAGGATGAAGAAACATAAAAGCAAATCTAGAATGTTGAGCTTCATGAAGAATGGATTCAGGGATTTAGGATATGCATTTGGTTGGGTGGTGAAAATATTCCAAAGGTTGATTTGAATAATTACTAGTTTAGAAATTTTGAAAATTTTGTGGCATAGAAAATATTCAATAAGTGGAAAATTTATTATAGGACTGAATGAAAATAATAGAAGATGCTTGTGATACATATGCTCTTTGAAGAAATTGTAAGAGAGTTCCCAATTGAATATAGATTTGTTAATCTAATTTATTACAAGTTAAACTTAATTATGAAGGTAATTTTGGCTTTCTTCATAATTAATGTTGTTTTATAGAAAATAATATATACATACACATACATGTACAGAAAATACTTACTTAAGCCTCCATTGTTTTCCAGACATTTTCTTCTGAGATATCAGAAACTAGTGTGTATAATTCACATACTCAAAATTCAAAACCTGTATACTTGAAAAATATTGTCATAGTGTTTTCACATCAGACCCTTTAACAGAGGATTTTCCCTTCTTTAGGAGCTAAGACTTTTTCTTAGCACAGAGAAATAATGGGTAGAACAAATCCATATAAAGCCTTAAAAGATGAAATGTCTGACTAAGATATTTGCAGAAAAACTGGCTGAAAAGAAAAGTCATTTGCACATAGGTGAATTTGCCAAAGCTATGTGAGAATAGGTGATGGGGAGCATAACGGGTTTGTCAAAGGAATCAAATATCTGTAGCAGGTTCTGGCTCCAAGGAATCTCAGGGAATCCACTTGGGATACTAAAGTAATTAACCTACCAACCTTGTTCAGCAAGAATACAAGATATCATAAGAGTCACTGTGGAGAATATGAGATTCCAACATTTTATAAAGGAAGACAAAACCTGAGATAAATTCATAGTGGTAGTTAGTCTTTCAGTAAGTAAACTTCTTGGCTATTTGTTGAGTACAGAATACAGATCAATGGGCTGATGTGCCAAAGCAGGAAGAATTCTAGCCTTTAGGAGATTAATATCTAGAAAACCAGATATATGCAGATATGCTATGTTCATGATACTGTGAGAAAAGATAGAAAATTGTCAAAATGGGTATAAAAATAAGAATTTTAAACTAAATTGATCATGGTGAGCTATAACAGATGGGCAAGGATTAACAGAAGAGGTTATTTGACAAGAGATTCAAAAATTGAGTATACTTAAGCCAGGGAGGGCAGAGATTTTTTATGAGGGCATAACTCCCTTCTCTCTCAGACATGGCAAACATCACTAACCAGTCATACTATCACTGAACCTGGAAACAGCATTAATAATTCCCAATAAAGTGTTTAAGAAGGACCCTACTTTTTGAAAAATGTTTACCGTCTCTAATTTGTACAGAGATATTGAGGAAAGGGACTTTCAGGCATTGGGTAGAGCATATGCAAATGGTTGGTCTTGGAATTTATGTTCCAAGAACAAGAAGAAGTCAATATTTACGCTGGGTATTAGAAGGGAAGTTAGGTAATTACAATGTGGCCTAACTAGAAGAATATGCATGTCCAGTTCAGGATGATAATCTCACTTGGTTACTGAGAACCAGTGGGGTTTTTAAAGCTACTTCATTTGGGTGTGGTTGACATGCAAAATGTTGTTCATATTTAGTGTATACAACTTGGTGAAGTTGGAAATAAAATTGCACTTGTGAAACCACATTTATACTCTAAACTTATCCACTACCTCCTAAAGTTTCCTACCGCCCTCTTTGTTTATTGTAATTTCTTTTCTTCTTTTTTCTTTGTGATTAAAATACTTAAGATCTACCATCTTAGCAGAATTTGAAGTATGTAGCATATTATTGTATACTGTAGGTTCAATACTATACAGTAAATACTTTATTTTGTAGCTGAACTTTTGTTTAACCTTTTACTAATATTCTGTTTCCTCTTCCTATCTTTGACAACCACTACTCTACTCTCTGGTTCTGTTAGTTTGACCATTTTATATTTCTCTTGTAAGTGATATCATGTAGTATTTGTCCTTCTGTGTCTGACTTATTTCACATAACATAATATTCTCCAGGTTCATTGATTTTGTTTCAGTCAGCAGATATTTTTTAAAGCAAGGGTATGGCAAGATAATAGAGCAACATCAAAATTTTACATAAGATCAATGGCAAAGGGATATTATGTGGGGTTTTGTCATTATTTTAGGGCTCAGCATATGAAGCAATGGCAACCCACTCCAGTACTCTTGCCTGGAAAATCCCATGGACGGAGGAGCCTGGTAGGCAGAGTTGGACATGACTGAGCTACTTCACTTTCACTTTTCACTTTCATGCATTGGAGAAGGAAATGGCAACCCACTCCAGTGTTCTTGACTGGAGAATCCCAGGGAC